TACATCACATTTTGATATCCTCACTGTACTGTATACATCACATTTTGATATCCTCACTGCACTGTATACATCACTATTTTGATATCCTGACTGTACTGTATACATCACATTTTGATATCCTCACTGTACTGTATACATCACATTTTGATATCCTCACTGTACTGTATACATCACATTTTGATATCCTCACTGCACTGTATACATCACTATTTTGATATCCTGACTGTACTGTATACATCACATTTTGATATCCTCACTGTACTGTATACATCACATTTTATACAGTACAGTGAGGATATCACATCACATTTTGATATCCTCACTGTACTGTATACATCACATTTTGATATCCTCACTGTACTGTATATACATCGATCGTGTAGAAAGTTAATCAACAAATTTTTTGCTGAAAATAATAAGATTTTCTGAACACTTTTTGTCGCAATAAAAGATGTAACGCCTTTTGAATCGAGTGTCTGGCGAAACGTTGGTTACACTGTAATGTTTATGATATAAGGCATTTCAGACTGCGCTATGCATGGATTGAAAAACAAAAGCTTTAACCTGTTCACAGCTCGTGACATCGGCCTTGAGGTTCCTGTTTTACATTCCATTCGGAGGACACTGCTGTTACTACATATACAAACCTAACACGACACATTTTACTTGGTTTATTTTGTACATGTTTGATCTCCCCCTTTTATCATTCTTTATTATTATAAAATTACAGCTTCTAAGGTTGTAACAAGAGTTGCTGAGGTTGTAATAATATTCTGTAACTGAGGTTGTTAGAAATGTTTTTCCTTACATACCGAAACTACAAGTGAAACTGTATCAACCTAAATGAGTGTTAAAAAACTCTGGACGATTACAAGTAACCTCATCAATATATTTAATTAAACAACATAGATAAGCTACAGTTTAGAACTGAGATTAGAAGTAAATCTTAAATAACAACCAATAAAAACTCATATTAGCAGAAAGTCTTGAAAAACAAATGATAAAGGTAGTTAAAAACAGTACAAACGACGAGTCTTGATAAAAAAAAAAGGCTTATTTGAGATTATGTTGGTCGAAACAGTGCAAACGACGAGTCTTGATATAAAAAAAGGCTTATTTGAGATTATGTTGGTCGAAACAGTGCAAACGACGAGTCTTGATAAAAAAAAGGCTTATTTGAGTTTATGTTGGTCGAGTAAACATTTTTTTGAAGTAAATCTTGCCTTTCTGCAACGTCATGTATAATACGACAAATGCCACAAGGTGGCGTTAAAGCTGGCACAATTTCAAAGTATGACGAACATGACATAAGTTGCCTTTCCCAAATTCAGGGTAAAACTGTAATTTTTTTATGAGTGTATTTCTCTTATTTCCTCCGATGATGTTCCTGGATTATATGTAACTGTGCATCCGTATAAGCTAGTAAAAGTTACGTCCTTCGCAAGGCCATTAAGAATTGGTCATCGGGAGTGCCAACCAATGAGGTCATCTTCGGCTTATAATTTCGTCGTTACCGTGGCGGAAAGCTGTTACATTGGGGGTTAATGTTCAAACTCATCAAAACGGAAATAAGCGAAACAGACATGCTAATCTAACCAGAACCAAATTGGATGATTTCAAATTACTTACCTACACAAAGCTCTTTAAAATTCACAAGATGTTGTTAACCCTACTCTTTGTTTCATAAAACAATAACATTTTTTAAGTACCCTTAGATACAAATATTAAAATTTCTTAAGACACGACGCGAATCTAAGTTGAAATCGTTCGTCAATAAACTATCCTGACACTTCTGTGAATCACACTCGCCATAGACAGTTTCAGTCATTCAATTCAAATTTCTCTGGACAACACCCGAATCGAAATCCTGGTATGATACATAAACGATAATAATACTTAAACTTAACGATAACCTGAGGCAATGCATCAAATATACTAGTTAAGCAAATATTTACAGAATTAAAAATGTAGCATCGTGTAGTGTATGTTGTATATTTCTTAGAAAAACAAACAACTAATGAATTCATATTCTGACAGGATCGTTAATCACGACTCCTTCTTCATACCTGCTTCTAGTCATGATTTGAACTTTTTTTTTTAAAAATAGTTACCTGTCTACAAGAGCTGGGCTAACAGGTTTGCTAAGAAATAAATAGGTCACAACACGGGACGTTACAAGACTGTACATGTATACGCTAAAACTTAATAGAAAGTTTTATAGATGAGAAAATTTTATTTTCCTCGTGTGATGGCGATGATGATGGAAATAGTTGAGTTAAAAATTAAACTTAAATGTAATTTCTAACGCTAATTACGAATTTGATTTTTAAGACGACTGAGACTTTAATTTAATAAATATTGGGAAAATGCGTTACTAACAACTCGTAACAACAGTAGAAATTCGCTTTGGTTACATTAAATACTAAAACGAGGCCTAGCGATGAAGCGAGAAAAGGCCTAGTCAATGCAGATCGCACAAGCAATTCAAGCTACTGCTTGACGCCTCGCGCTAGTGAGTTAACAATAAAAAAATTAATAATCATTTCATTTAAAATGTGTCAGAATTTTTTTTATTTTAATCTTTAAAATAACTGGCACCTAATTTGAGCCTTAAATTTAAAAATATGGGAGCAATGTTTCCTCTAAGCGTAGCATTCTAGCAAGTACCGCGCATCGAAAACAACAGATCACTCACAAGTTAGTCGCCCCCCCCAGCGGTATTTCTGAGAACTTACAACGCTAGAATCCGGGTTTCGATACACGTGGTTGGCAGAGCCCAGATAGCCCATTGTATAGCTTTGTACTTAATTACAAATAAACACAAGTTAGTCATTTGGACGTGTGGAAGACGTAGGCCTACAATTTGAACAATACCATGTGGAAACGTAAGGCAGAAGCACAGGCGCTAACAGCAGCTAAAAAA